TTAAACATATCTACATACTCCCTCAGTTGTAGCAAAGAATGCTGCTAAATCAGTTTGGCATGAACCACCTCCTAACACCAATATCTTATTGGGTTTCTCATCCTCTACCATCTCCTAGTTGATGTCTGATTACTGTGACCTGTCTCAGGAGTCCTGTTTAGTCTCTGTAGGCAGAATGATAGAACCCCCTTCCCTCTGGTGTTGTCTCTTAGTTATTTTCCATCTGCTATGCTTGTTCTTTGTCTATAAATTTCCAGTTGTCTATGATGTATCTCATTAAAGTGGTCTGTATAACTATTGCAATGGTCCTGAATAAAGTCTGGCTTACTATACTTTATTTATTTTTTTGATGGAACTGGGGATCGAACTCAGGCCCTTGTGCTTGCCAGACAAGCGCTTATTCTACTGAGCCATCTCCCCAACTCCATTGCTTACTATACTTTAAAAAGTGTAATCAAAGAATCTTTTCTTGGGGCTGGGGAGATGGCTCAGTGGAATAAGCGCTTCCCTGGGAAGTGCAAGGGTCTGAGTTCAATCCCTGGTTCTGCCAAAAAAAAAAAAAAAAAGAATATTTTCTTTAGCAATGGTAGGGGTCAGGGGCTGGCAAGATAGCTCAGTGGTCTAAAGTGCCTGCTTAGGCAAGTGCAGGGACCACAGTTCCATCCCTGGTGCCACAAAAAAAAAAAAGCTAGGGGCCAGGTGGGCAGCTCAGTCATAGTTTTCCTAGCACATGCAAGGTGCTGGGGTCTAGCCTTTGTACAAATAAACAACCCCTAAATAATTCCTTATCATGACTCCCAAACCTGTTCACTTTTTAGTTGTAATGGTCTTTTGCAGCATTTGTTCCAGCATTCAGAATTTTTTACTTCAGATCTACCAAGCACTTTCTACAGCGTTACCAGCTTTTCCTTCTATCTGGGGTTTTCTCTTCTGGGTCATCTTACCCTAGTCTTCAAGATTTTGTTTATTTATTAATTTATATTTGGTGGCACTGAGGACTGAACCCAGGGCTGGGTTCACTGAGTTACATCTGCAGCCCTTTAATTTTTATTTTTATTTTATTTTAAGACACGGTCTCAGCTGGGCATGGTGGTGTACACCTGAAATCCCAACACTCAGGAGGCTGAGGCAGGAGGATTACTGTGAGTTTGAGGCCAGCCTGGGCTATAAAGTGAGGTCAACACCAACCTGAACTGCAGAGTGAGATCCTGTCTCAAAAAGAGCAGCAAAACAAACAAATAAACAAAAACAACCCAACAACAACAGACAGGGTCTTACTAAATCACTAAGTTGTCCAGGCTGGACTCCAGCTGATGATCCTTTTTTTTTTTTAATTAAAATTTTTTTTTCATTATGTCTGTAGTACAGAATGATCACATTCACACTCAGTGTTAGTATACAGACATAGCACATCTTTGTTTATTCTACTTCCCTTATCCATCCATCCATCCATCCATCCATCCATCCATCCATCTATCCATCCATCCATTTACCCTTGAGCTTGTTATTCTCTTGCCTTAGCCTTCAAGAACACTGGGATCAGAGGCAAGTGGCACTATGCCCAGATAAGATTTTATTACTTTTGTTTTACAGATATTAGTTGACTAGTTCAAATGCTAGTTGTCGGGATAAAATTCTAAATAAAATCAACAGTTTCTGTCCTTATGGTACTTATATTGGCAGAAATGTCATCTCTTTTGAGTATCTATAGCACTTCATATACTTTGCTGGTTTTTTTTTTTTTTGTATGCATTTTAGGACAGGGCCGACAGGGTCTACAGGGTCTCACTGAGTAGATCGGTCTCATAGTGATCCTCCCGTTGACAGCCTCCCAACCACGTCCAGTCTCAACTGCCATTTCAGGGCGCCCAGGGGGCGGGGCCCGGCATGGCGGGTCCAGGGATCGAATTCCAGGCCCCTGTGTCTGCTGAAGCAGGAGCTTTAATTGCTGTTGTTTTTAAGGTACTGGGGACTGAGACGGAGGTCTTCAACCTGAGCTACCCTTTGAAATTTTTTTGTATTGAGGAAAGTTCTCACTATATCATTAGGCTACTCAGGTTGGGCTCCTACTCATAATCTTTCTGGCTCAGCCTCTAGGAGTGCTAGTATTACAGTTGTGGATCAGATGCATGATCAGATATGAACTTTTATTATAAACTCTATTACATTACGCTGTAGTTTTGGTTTGCATGTTTGCATCCCACTGGACCATGAACTTTTTTTTTTTTTTTTTCTCTTCTCTATAAATAATCAAATTTTAGGGCCAGCCAAATAGCTCAGCAGATCAAAGTGTCTGCTTAGGCAGACTCAGGGGCCCAGAGTTTGATCCCTGGGCCTGCCCTGCCCGCCCTGCCCCCTGGGCAGGCTGAGAGGTTGATTTGAGACTGGCTTGGTGGCGTGAGCCTGTAATCCCAGCACTTGGCAGGCTGTAAACAGCGGGCTCACTATGAGTCTGATCTATGCAGTGAGACCCTATAGACTCTGTCAAAAAAAAAAAAAAAAAATTGAACATTAATACTAATGGGCTGGTGAGATGGCTCAGTGGTCTAAAGCACCTACTTAGAACAAGCTTAGCAAAGCACAGGGACCACGGTTCAATCCCCCAGCACCACATGCCAGCCAGCCCCGCCCCCTGGTGGGTTGAGCTGGCCACACACACACACAAACAAATAAATAAATAAATAAAATTAAAAAAAAAAAAGAACATTAATACTAAAAAAGCAGAAAAAATCAGAGCCATGAGCTTTTTAATGTTAGGATAAAATTTAAGTCATCTTCATGTCATTAGTATCTAGGAGATAACAGGCATTAGGTAATGTTTCATTTAATAAACAAATAGAAGAAATTATTCCAAGTGTTAACTAGCAAATGCTTTCTTTTTATTTATGGAATATACTTTTATACATTTAAATGCTGTGAAATGTTTTTATTGGCAAAGTTTTAGTTTTTCAGGTTAGCATGCATCCTAATATGCTTAAAGAATGGGTCCAAAAGTTTTTGAATAGAAAAACTTTACAAATAGAAGGATGCAATATACAAATAGAAGGATGCAACAACAGAGTAAGACTTACAGTCCTTTGCAGGAGTTGACACTGCTGCTCCTGCTAAAACTCCATTGGACAACATGAAAATTCTATAGTCAAAGCACTTCCAAAGCTGAGTCAGTGAGGAAATGACAGTTGTACTATATTATATGCTACATTTGTGCTTTAGCCAGGTCTTTTTTTACTAGTTCAATCAGTTCATCTTGAACACCATTTTTTTTTTTTTTTGTGGAACCAGAGATTGAACTCAGACCCTTGCCCTTGCCAGGGAAGTGCTTATTCCACTGAGCCATCTCTCCAGCCCCCAATAATGCTGTTTTTGATAGTAACTTAGATTTAGTTTTATGCTTTATGTTGTACAGCATTACATTTTTATTTATTTATTTTATTTTAATTATTTTATTTTATTTTTATTTTATTTTTTGAACTCAGGTCCTTGCGCTTGCCAGGGAAGCGCTTTTTCCACTGAGCCATCTCCCCGGCCCTAGCATTACATTTTTAGACTCTGTCTTGTTTCCCAAAAGAGACTGGTAAAGTCTATCCAGCAATAATATACTGGGCAGATGATTTAAAAAAGCACATTTTTAAAACTGATACTCATTGAACGTGGGACAGCATTAATAGTACGTAACAGAACACGGTAGTGTTCCCAAGTAAAGAAATGTTCCTCACGGGAAGGAACATTTGTTAAAAATGTATATTCAGATTGAGTAAATCTGGGTGGAGCCCGATAATTTGCATTTGCAACAAGCAAAAGAGATTCTAGTTCGAGGACCCATTTTGAGTAGCAGAGATGTAAAGGAATGAGTAAAAGGAAAGCAGATATTTTGTTTTAAAACATATTTTACGGAGTGTTAATCAGAAGTGTAATTCGGATTTTTTTTTTTTTTTTCTTTTTTTGGGAGCTTGACCCCAGCACCTTCTCTATGAGCTATATTTCTTCCCCCTTTTTTTTTTTTTTTTTTTTTTCAGAACCAGGGATTGAACTCAGGCCCTTGCGCTTGCCAGGGAAGCACTTATTCTACTGAGCCATTCCCCGGCCCTAGAAGTGTAATTCGGAAGGAGTGAAGTGGAGCACTTCTTCCCCAGCCCCAAACCTCTCCCTTTTCTGCTCCATCTCTTCCCCTAGCCCAGCCAAAGTCCTCAGCTCCTTAAGCAACAAGAACACAAGCAGCAAAAAGCTCAGTTGCAGAAGATGCGAGCCCATGTAACAAAAAAAGGAATCATCCCTGCACTTACTAGTCTAACAGCTTGGGGATTAGACGCAGTCCGGACGGCAGCCTCTTCATGCCCTAAAGAAAGATTCAAAATTAAATTTTCGTCATAGAAGGACCAATAGTAGTTGTGCTCTCTCTACGATTCGCTTTGGTGGGACCGTAGGAGCCCAGCCTCGCTTATGATTGGCTGAAGGCGCACCACCCTCCGGCCAATCAGAGCTGAGGCGCTTCTGGTATGAATAAGAGGAAGGCGGGAGAGAAGGGGTAGGAGAGCCGGGGAGAAAAGAAGGTGTGTCACGTCCCTTATGTTATGGGTGGAAGCTTTTGTGTAATTGGTTGTTTCTTCTTCTAATTGTTCCAATAGCAAGCTCGTCTCTGCGGAGCCCTATGAAATTGAAAGTAGAGAACAGAGGGAAACCAATAGAAAAAAATATATATACATCAGCCAATCGCCCTGCGGCGTTTTGTGCCTTTGTCCAACAGGAAATTGTGTTTCATGCGGAGGGGCGTTGCCAAGTTGCCAATGGGCGGGCGCAGATGAAATAGAAGAGCCAATGAGTGTAAGATGTTGAATGACAGCTGTCCAATAGAGATCCTCAGTGCTAGTAAGGTTTGCAGCTTAAGCAACGCCGGGGTCTGAGGAATGTCAACTATTCAACATGGAGGCGGAGGTCGATAAGCTAGAACTGATGGTGAGTACAAAGTGAAGGAGACCTACTGGATAATTCATTTTCCCTCTATGGCCTCGAAGCTAGGACGCAGGTTGGAGTCACCGGAAACTCTGGGTGGCGGAGGCTGGACCAGAATCAAATTCCCTCCTCCTGCACCAAAGCGAGCCGCCACCGTCTTGGTCTCTTAACCGCCTCGGGGGAAGGGGTTACATCCGGGAAACTCGTGAGGGAAATGGCGGGAGATGCTGAGGGTGTGGGGGCCTCAGGAATCTTTTGCCTCCCCCTTTGCTCCGGGCAAGTCGCTACGCCTGGTGCAAACAGCACTATACGCATCCACCAAAGGGGGAACCTGCTTTGTGCCCTAAGAAGGGGACCAGTCCCTAAGCGCCCTAAGAAGGGGAGAGATCTTTCCTACTCCTAGAAAGGGGCTTGGAGGGTGGGGTAGAGGAATAAAGGGGGGCGGGAAGCAATCTCTTTCGGGCTGAGCCGGTCTTGCTCTCAGAGGCGGGCTGAGAAAGTGTGAGAAAGGATGCTGGACTTGCGAGTGTAACTTCCTAGCGTCCCAGGAAGTCCTCACACCCGTTTGTGCTTGGGCCAGAGGCAGCAAGCCTTGGTGCGGGGAGGAGGCAGCGGGAGGGATCGCAACCCCGAGCGCGGGCGGGATCGGGACCGGCGAGCACCTTGCTCCGGAGTCGCCCGCTCTCCTTCTTCCCTGAATGAAGAGCGCATGGGAAGAACTGCAAAGGCGCCCCGGTTGCTGCTGTTTGGCCGGCGCACGAGCGCCGAGCAGAGGCGTCGCCCTCGTTTTCAGGGTTTTCCATTTTCTTTCCCTTATCTCCCCGGAGTACCAGCTCGATAGCCCGCGCTTTTTTCTTAGTTCTCTAGTTCGGTCTTCAATCTTCTCGAGTGTTGTTTCTCCAGTTTGAGCTGGCTCCCTTAAAAATGGACGGCTTGGAGAAAGTATTTGATTAAGCTCCTGTCGTTTATTTCTGTTAGAGGAACTCACAAGATTAAATTTTGCCAAGTGGGAAACTTCTTTCTTTATCCACAATCACGGCTTCTCCACCTCCCTTCCCGACTTGGGTTAGTTACTACGGTATCGGTGCCTAAGCTGCTCCCTCCAAAGCGATCTTGGGTCCCTCACGCCTGGAAAGCATTGTGGGGATCTTGGGAGATACCGACTACTGCCCTACCCGCCCCCCCATTCTCACTCCAGATATCTGAGATCTTGATTTATCTCATTTCCCTTTAATGTATTAATGAATTGAAGTGCTTCTCGTATACAGATGACTTGAAGGCTTTCAATTACTTTTAAAATTTTGCGTTTAAAATGTGTGTGTGTGTGTGTGTGTGTGTGTGTGTCTGTCTGTCTGTCTGTCTGTCTGTGTGTAAGGGGTGGGAATGGGGAAAGGGGGGCAGGATGGAGGGAGCAATAAGACGCAAGAATTTTATGTAGCTTTTCAAGCCTCCAAAAAATAAATATTTAGTTCAGGTTCTTGGGTTTTAAAGCTATTCTTCTATTTAAATGCAAAATATGTTATTTTAGTTTGATTCTATCAACTGGTGTAGCTGTTGTATCTTGCCCCCCTATTTTGAACTCCTCCCTTAAGATACAGATATTTTTGCTTAATTATTAATGGTAAATGATGCTAATTCTGCTTTTAACAGTTTTCTTTCTTTCTTGAGTTTGGTGTTTTAATTTTCAGGTTCTTTGTAGCGTTTGCAATAGGGTTAATGTTCTTATAAGACTTTAGGTTGCACTAATTCTATTTTAAGGGAAAAACAAGTAATTGGAAAAAGGCAGGTTTTAGAAGCTTATGAGGCAGTGAAACTTTCAAACATTTCAATAGTATTTAAATTGGGAAAGTTAAGATTTTTTTGAGGAGAGGAAAAAAATGAAGCAGGTTTTTTCTTAAATTTCTTTCAAGTAAATTACTGGTAACATCCCCTGCCCTTTTCAAGTTACTGTTTTCATAATTTGAGTTTAAAACTCTATACTTTACAAATGTACCTTTTAATCATGTTTTTTTGTATTACTGCTTTGTATTGACTGGATAGTAAAAGATAGTACATCTCATCTGCAAATTTTCTATGTTCATTAATTTTTTTTTTAATCTGTGAACCAGTATAGTTTATAGGATTCCAAAAGCAAATGATTTCTTGTGCAATGTTCAGGTTTTTGGTTTTGTATTACTTAAATAAAGGATTTGCCATGGAACTAGTGTTGAATAGTAGGTGAAAAGAGAATGCATTACTATTTAACTTTGAAAATGACTAGTGATCCTAATTTTCTAAATAGCCTTATCCTCTTTTATTTTTTAATATTTTTCTTATTCATATTAGCTTCCAAGTCAGAAAGTTAAACATTTGCTTTTATTTGACTTGCAAACCTGATACTTGGTTTAACAGAGTTAAATATCCTAATATTTGAGTTATAGGGCCCAGGAGTTGAGGCCAAGACTCAAGTTCCAACTGTTCTGAATTTGAGTCCATTTCTTGGTAGGCTTAATCCAGCCGAGTAGCCGAACTGGACCATTTAAAAGAAGATTGGTGAAAATAATGGAAATGTACTTCAGCCTCAATCAATATTACTAATAGAGGAATGACCTCATTGTGGAGTAATCTTTGTCCTCTTTTTCCCTACACTCACTGAGTGGCATTTGTCTAGGGGCCTGTTTTTGTCCACTGATTGTATATAAAAGGTAGTATAATGTGATACTGTGACACTATTTCTAGGTTTAATCTGACTTTTTTTTTTTTTTTTGCGGAACCAGGGATTGAACTCAGATCCTTGCATTTGCCAGTCAAGCGCTTATCCTACTGAGCCATCTCCCTGGCCCTAATCTGACTTTTAAGGAAATTCTTTGTTAAGGAAACTTATTTAAGTCTCAGACATCCTATTGTTATTTTTCTCTTGTTATTTCTACATCAAAAAGGAATCAACATGTCTTCTATATTTGAGAGAATGTGAAGGTTAACTGAAATATTAAAAACCTCTTCTATAATGTTCAGTAAAGTTAGTTTGATAATGTCCAGTTTAGCACCAGTTGATTCCCTAAGTGTCCTCTTCCTTATAATAGACCTCTTCTGTAAACTTTTGAGATAAAAAGCTGTAAGATGTAAGTGTTTTTTGTGTTTTTCAAAGTGTAGTTCAGGATCTGCAGTAATTAATTTGGTATGTAGACATTTGAAAAATTTATTTTACTTTTCGTTTTCTTTGACATATTTATTGAAAGGGCTTATTTTATATGGCTGGTAATGGAAAATGAGCTAACCAAAAACCCATCTCAATGGAAAATGGAAACATTTAACGCAGCTTTTAGTAGTAATTGTAACTGGTTTTGTTAATACTAATCCAAAGGTATTAATAATACCTGTCTTAATTACTACTAAGTTTTAGAACATATTTACAAAATTCTCCTACATCTCTGTATGTTTCTTTTTGAATGTTATGTATAGGTTAGTCTAAAAAAAATTATCACTTTGATATTTTAAGTCTCATCCTTTTTTATTTTTAAAAGAAAAATAAGCATTGATATAAATGTTTTTTAGGTTTTTGGATGTCTTCTGACCAAAATGGCAAACCAACATTAAATTCTTTTTACACTGAAGCTTCAAGTGATGCAAGATACTTTTGTGTTCCTTCCCTACTTATTACTGCTAACGAATGCTCTGACTTTATTGCACTACTGTACTTTACAGCTAGCAGTGCAATAGTATTGTCAAAGCATCTGAAAGCAGGGTACACGTCAGAAGTTTTTATTCTTGCTTTACATCTTTCTTCAGTATTTTGAATAACACAACCCTTGTTGCTAAAAACTATAATTTTGTTACAGTATATCTTTTAGAAAATCGTAATTGAAAAATTTAAAACTATTCAAAGCTCACTACTGCATTGTGAAACAATTACATTTTCTATTTAAAGTTATTATGCCTTGTGTAAATGGGTAATACTTTGCAATTTGCTTCTTTTAAAATAATTTTTTTGGTAGTTTTTTTTTTTCTGTGACACATTTAGATTATTTCTGACAAATCTTAGGTTTTCTTTAACTTAGCTTTATGACAAATTAGTAATTGATGAAGATAATCTGTGCTGTATATGACCTCTGGTGACTTGCCCCGTCTTAATTAGGGTTAATTTTGGTATTATGTAGGAAATGCTTCAGTTTAAAACTCAAAGATGATTTATTTAGTAGTGAGACTCTGAACACCTGTAGACCCTTCCCTAAAAATAACAAAGACAAAATGATTGATTTAAAATTCATTTTGTAGTTATGTCTTAAAAACTGTGAATTCACCACTATTTTTAATAATGAATTTTATTGATATAATATAAATACAATAAGACCGACCAATTTAAAGTATATAATTTGCTAGGCTTTGGTAAATATATATGATAGTGTAATCATCACCACAGGCAGGATATATAGAATATTTCTGTCACCTGAGTTTTTGTAGCTGGATATGGTGGCTCATGCCTGAAATCCCAACTCTCTGAGGGGCTCAGCCAGGAGGATAAAAACTCCAAACCCAGCCTGGATAACTCAGTAACTTAGCAAGACCCTGTCTTAAAAATTTTTTAAAAGGCCTGAGTTTGATTCCCAGTGAGGGGTGGGCGCTATTGTGCTTTGTTCCTATAATCCTAGTTCTAAAGGAGGCTGAGGTAGAAAGATTACAAGTTTGAGTCCCACAAGGCAATCTTGTCTCAAAATAGTGCAAAAAATGACTGAAGATGTGGCTTAGTGGTAGAATACCTCTAGGCTTAGGCCTCAATTCCACAAATAAATAGAAAATAAGGGGCCGGGGAGATGGCTCAGTGGAATAAGCGCTTGCATGGCAAGTGCAGAGGCCTGAGTTTAATCCCTGGTTCCGCAAAAAAAAAAAAAGAAAAGAAAAGGAGGAACTTTTTTGGGGGGTCTACTTTTGTAGTTGTCCTCTTCTCAAATTTCCCAGCATCCATCTAGGTCCCTAGAATTTCAAATAAGTGGGAAAATGGTATGTTGCCTTTTGTATTTAGCTTCTTGCATTTATGAAAATGCTTTTGTTATTCATCCATATTGTATCTATTTAGTATTGGACAGTTTGTTTTTTTTCCGACTATAGTTCAGGCTGGCCTTGAATTCATGTTGTTCTTCCTGCCTCAGCCTCCTGCATGGTGGGGTTAGAAGTGTGT